CCCTAAAACCTTAAACCCTAAACCCACTCTGGGTGTCGGGGTCAAGTTTCTAAGGAGAGAATCCGTTCCACCTCGTCGGGGCCGCTTTGTCAAGGATCTTACTATCTCAGAGATCTCATACTTTAGGGTTTAGGGATTAGAGTTCAAGGATCTTATTATCTCAGAGATCTCATACCCTTACCCTCAAAGGACTCATATTATTGGGCTTTTGGGCCCAAAGACCCTATTATATATGGCTTTTGGGCTATTTTGATGCTAAGGGATAGAGCTTATGTTCGGTGCTACTGTCCTTTTTGTCTGGAGGAACGCAATAGGCCAGCTGAAGAAAGAAACTTGTCTGGGCCTACAACAGGAAGGGAGAGTTTTCTGTGGCATCTGACTCACAGACAAAGGCTACAGTTCCGCCACACCTTGCCCCCCCCTGAGGACGAAGCACCTACATTCCCGAAACATAGCACATGGAGCAGTCTCTGCACGAGGTACGGAAGCGCGCCTCACGGCCTTCTATGCGGAATACCGGCCGGAGAGGCGGGGAGAGTTTAGCACCACTGGACTCTTCGAGTTTCTTGTGTCCAAGTTACACTGCTACAATTACCGCTAGCTATCCTAAGTATGTTTCTTGCCGTATGTGTGTGAATGTTGTTTCGTCATTTTCCATCGTTGACTTGTGTATTGCTTGTCTGTTTTCTTTATTGTATTCTGATGCGCAGGAATTTGCCTAGATATCAGTATTGGTATTCTTGTTGGTATCATTACACTGTGTTTTTGTGGGCATCGTGCTGCTCAAGACCCTAAGGGTCCAAGTACTGTACCCAGTGACCATATGCTCGCCCAATTACAAACTAAAACGAAACCCATGGCTCTGACCCAGGCAGTCGATATAAAGGCCTCGAAGCCAAGGCGGATTAGGGTTTAGGGTTTAGTGGCCTCTATGCCCAGATCCTGCAGGCTGGACGAGGAAGGCAAAGTGAAGGACATCAAGGAGCTGTTTGAGAGGTTGGAGTCTGCGCTTGGTGGGTTCTCTGCGGTTAAGGTCTAGATTCTCGGATGTCCTATTACTATTCGCGCCAGCTACCCTCTAGTCTACCCCAAGTCTAGGACATTTTCAGGTGGGTAATTACCGTTATAGGAACCTTGTAGAAGGTCTATATACCTTATAGAAGCCTTGTAGAAGCCCTATATACCCTAAACTCTCCACCTGTCGTTTCCTTTAACCAATACCCTCTATCAATAACCATCAGGGCTTTATATATCGGGGGGGGGGGTCCTGGCAATTCTCATGTTCAACCTCTGAGTTTAGGGTGGTGACTTGAGCCTGCGGGGACCGCAGACCGAGGACCCGGGGACTTAAACAGACAGGTTCCCCTAAACCTTTTGGGTTTAGGGACTTAAGGTTTAGGGTTTGTTTAGGGACTTGGGGTTTGAGACTTGGGGTTTGGGACTTTGGGTTTAGGGTTTAGGGCTTACCTCAACCCCCAAAAGTCGGTGAAATAATGGCCCAAGACCCATAAACAGCTATTGTTTTGCATACTGTTGGGGTCCAGGTAAACCCCATAAGCATGCATCTGTTTAACCCGCCAGGGGTTTCGGGTACGAAATTCTGGGGGCTACATATCCTAAACCCTGCACCCTAAACCGTGAGCCCTAAGCCCTATAAACCCTGGGCTCATGCACCCGAAACCCGAATACATACTAAGCCCTAAACCCTAAACCTTAAACATAAATACTTCACCCCATAAGGCCACAAACCCCAACCGCCCCACCACCGCACAAACTACGCAAAGCACCAGAGATTTTTTTGGGACACGCAGACCCGTTTTTGTTTGTAAAGGGTGTTTACAGCCACCCTCCCCAAAAGGAAAAACGTGAAACCTAGGGCTCTGGGTTTCAATCAGAAGCACAGAGGAGGTTTGGAAGAAGTGGCAGAATCGCGAGCCAGAGCTTTTCTTCGAGCTCGCAAAGAAGTACTCTGCTGATGTCGCCCTTGGGACAGACATTGGTGAGCTAGATAAATCTTTACCCATCTTTGCACTTTTTTTGAGATGTGCTTCGGGTTTTGGGTTTGAAAGGGCTCGTGGTTTAAATGACAGGTGTTCAGGTTTTCGGGGTAAGGGGGGATGTAGTCGGCTGTTTGCGGTCTTTGATATAGTGCTGCAATTGGCGGGACCCCGCAAGCACAGTTTGAGGGGTCTCTATGTATTCCTCATGTCCCTAAACCCCTAAACCCTAAACCCTTGAGACGTTGCCATTAAGGGTAGCTGCGGGATCCAGGCATAGCCTGATGGTTTTGCACAGGCAGGTCTAGTTGGGGAGTCTAGGGAGTACCTGGAGCCCCAAAGTATTTTCGAATAATAGCCTTTTGCAGTTGTTGGGCCATTGTGGTACCTACCTGTGGGGTTTAGGTATAGCCGTGCTTCTAAGCAGGTTTAAGGTTCAGAATTCATAAGGTTCAAGCTCCTCAAACACAAGGGAGACCTGTGCGACGAAGAACTGAGACGATAGTTTGAGGTAACCAGCTTGGTCCAGAGATGGACTTTGCGTGGTTGCCTGATTTAAGAGTTCCGTTGAGGGTTGTGAAAGGGTGTAGATGCAGGTATAAATGTTCCGGAATCTTTTGTTTCTTGCTTCGTGAGGTGTGCTTGATTGTTCCTACCATTGCTGATGAAATGGACCTGCTCGGGAGGTGGATGACGGCAGTTGTGCCAACTTACCTAGCGGTGTATGTACCCATAGGCCCCATAGTAGTTCCTTTTTGGGATTACCTTATAGGATTCTAAATATGAGCCCCCAAAAGGAACTACTATGGGGCCTATGGGTACTTTGTGTGCTTGCTTATTCTAGTGACACCATGGAAGCCACGTGTCAAAGACCGCAAAACCCTATGTCCTTCCTTGTGTCGGCCCTTGGCGCCAGTAGAGGGTCTGAAGCTTTTTGGCAGGACTGTCTTTAAGGTTCAGGGTTTAGGGGTTTAGGGTTTAGGGTGGCTATAACCTTATACTATACTCATCCCAGACTTGAAGCCCTCAATATACCCAAAGTTCCAGTCGCTTTGAAGGTGGAGCTGCGGAATCGCTCCGAGGACGAGCTTGAAAGGCCTGACATGACAGCAGGGTTCTCGAAGGGGCTTACTACGAGGGTTGCTTGGGGGCTTTGGGGTTTAGGGGTTTAGGGGCTCAGGGATTTGGGTTAGAGTTTTTGGGGTTTAGGGGCTTGGGGGGGCTTTGGGGTTTGGGTTTAAGATGGTTTTGGGGTTTGTGGGTTTTAGGTTTCAGGGTGTCCGGCGTCTTGGTAACTGGACTTGTCACCTGTCTGATAGCATAAGGGGCCTGAATAATTACCAATACTATTTTAGGGCTCAGATCGCCAAGAGCGGCTTGGAACACTGAAGCCCCACGGCAGTGAAACACTGTCGCCATAGGCAAGCACCCTCGTTCGCCTTGCTGGCACCGCCATACAAGGAGCAAACGCTCTAAAGCGCGCACTGCTCTCAGGACTGGACGGCCTCTTTCGAAGAGGCAGCTACAGCTGTTACTGAGGCACCACGCCACTCCTTCGAACTGGCATATGGGCCGCGGTCGTAAGCAATGGGACGCGCAGCCGCCACAGGATCAGCGAAGCTGGCGTGTCTGGCACGGGGCCTGGTCGCCGTCTATGTCCTCGCGAGATGCTCCGTGGCAGCCCGGGCCGAAGGCCAAAGCAAAGAGTCAGCCCTTTCCGTCCTACGATCAGAGCTGGGGCCAGCGGCAGGACATCACCGTGGTGAAGGAGACCCGACATCAGGGCTCTGGCGGCACCGTTGCGGAAGACGGTATGTCGAAGCCGGCTCAGCATGCAGTGAATGCCTTGCGGAAGGCGGAGGCGAGAGTCAGCAGAATCGCCAAGGAGAAACAAGAGAAGGCAGCTCGATTTGCTGCGTACGAGAAAGAGGTCCAGGCGGCGCATGCATTGGAGGAAAAGAAGTATATGGCTGCACAGGAGCGCCTGGCGGCGGAGCTGGACGAGGCCACCGAACAACAGGCCGCGGCGAAGGCGGAGCCGACGGCCACCACGCGGCGCGGACAGGCTCCGGTGTGGATTTGAGCAGGGAACCGTCGCGGTCTTCATGGGAGCGTTTGCAGGAACGGAATCCCAAACCTGCCGATGTCGCACCGGAGGATCTGGATCCACAGCTTTTGGAGATCTTGCGGTCTTACAAGCAAGGGCTTCTCACTATACGAGAGCCCTTGCAGATGGAGCATGGCTTTCGAAACGTCTCCCCGGTGGTTCTACGGGGACCGGTCAGTTCGGAGCTCCCTCAAGCTCGACCTGGGGATCCCGCTCCGTCCTATGGTCCTGTTTCTCCGGGTTCTGGTTCTGCTCTTGTGAGATCAGCTCCTTTCCCGCCGACATCGCCGAGTCACCTGCATCACGTCACGGAGAACAAGCATGCAGGGGACAATGTGATCACTTCGCTTTCCCCCGAGGCATCACATCGGGAGCACCGAGATACCGGTTCGATTGGGGTACGTCAGTCAATCAAGGATTCTACCAAGGCTCCTCCAGAGAAGCCGCCTCTGACAGGCACGCCGCTACACGAGAAGCTAGAGGCCAAACGCGGTCTGGTTTCGGGCCTTGCTACGCGCCCTTTTGGGCTTCCACCGGTCCCCGAAGACGCACCTCCTGGACTCGCGCCTCGAGCAGCTTGTGCCTCAGCACTTGTCGACGACGATCACGAGAAGGACGATGGTGGGCCGTCACCGGGCTTTGGGAACCTGGAGTAACAGGACTAGCTGAGTGCAGTAGGCCAAGCCCTGGTGGATTGTGGTCTTGCTGTCACTCGGGGGAGCGTCTGGTGAGGCTTTGCCGTGTGTTTTCCTCCGGGAACACCGCGTGCTCGTTCCTCGTCGGACTGCGCCTGCTGGGCGACGACATGACAACGATGCAACTTTGGGCATGGTGGTCTAGGCAGGTACCCTCGAAGCAATGGCTGCTGAGTCTCCGGATGTGCAGGCTGGTGGGCCGAGATTGGATCTGGACTTTATTGGGAAAGTCCTTTTCCCCGGGTCCCGTCGGTCAATGCTATCTGGATTCCTCGGTTGCCAGTGCGGTCCTGTGGTACCTACGGTCTCATTTTTCTTCAGCCGGTTGTGAACTGTACATAATTGATGGGTCGGCTGTACAGATGGTTTTCTCTTCCTCTCTGTGGCCCCATCCTTTCCGGCTACCTTTGCCAGGTGTCCCAGGTGTTTCTGCCCATGCCTCCGCCTTAAGGCCTTCAGGTGACATCGGAGAGTGCCTGCCTTTCGGGCTATGCAGGCGATTTCTGCGAGGTTGTCTTCGCCGTCTCTTCTTTTTCAGTGGTCGCTGGCCATCCAAAGGGCATGCTGATTCTGTTTTATGGGGTGAGGGTAACAGGGCGCCAAACATGCGTATCGGTGACTCTGGGTCGCAGGCCTGTTGTCCTCTGCTCCCCGCTTTGGCCGCCGCGCCATGGGCCTTCGTGGATTTCTCTTTCTGCTCTCGCCGCGTTTTGTCCTGTTGTGAGCATGCCCTTGTCGGCTTCGGTTGGGAGCGCCGCTTATCCCTTCTTGGGCATAGTGGGTGTTTCCTTTCCGTGCACTCTTCCTCGCGGGAGGAGATCTGCCACTTCTCTTGTGCCAGTTTCTCCTCCCCCACGCCTTTCCGAGCTTCTCTGCGCTTGCTCGGACGCGACCTTGCAATCTGCCCTCCGTCTAGGGTGCGGCACGTGATTGTCCTTGCTAGTCAGGGTTGGAGGCGCCGCTTTTCCCTTTTTGGGCTTAGTGGACGTCCCCCTCCTTGGCTTTCATCCTCGCGGGAGGAGAACTGTCACTTGTCTTGTGTCAGTTCCTCCGCCCCTTCGCCGTTCCGAGCTGGTTTTAGCTCGCTTGGCCTAAGATCCCTTGTTGAATGTGACTGCAGCGAACCTGGGGCCGGAGCGCAAAACCCTCACCGACCTGGGCCGGCCCAGGGTGCTATGCTGCGACAACCTAATCTCTGGGCTTCCCTCGAATCCATTTGTGCAGGCCCGTCGGTAGGGGTTTGTTTGCTGTATGGCGAACATCGCTGGTTCCTTGAGACACCGCTGAGTTGACACCGCTGAGTTCCCCTGAGCTTATGCATGCCGCTGCTGCCACGACTGTCGGAAGCCGAGTGGACGGCACGAGTTTTACTCTGGCCACGGGGCCACTCATCGCAGACTTGTGCCTGCATGGACGCTGTTGCTATGGCATTGCACTGTTGGTTGACCTGCCTTCTGGGTCCACTGGGTCCCCTGCTACGGGCGAGGACCCGACGGTCTATGTTTTCCTTGACTTCCGTCCCATTGGGGTGAGACCCTTTGGATGGTGCCAGTCCTCAAATAGCCTTCATCTCCCAACGGTCCTCCGTGCACATGACAAGGAGCTTCCCGGTAATGTTGAAATAGAGGTGGTTGGGAGGGAAACTCAGGGCTATTACATTGATGTTGCCTCTGGCGACATCATCGTTTTTCGTGCTGTTCCTGATAGCGATTACAGCACGAGCAGCCAACAGCAAGCAGATGGCGGGGACGAAGGGACGGAATCCGGAACCGGTCAGGATGAGGACCCCATCGATGATGCATCTGATCATGGGAGTGATTTGTCACTCCGTAGCCGCTCTCCCAGAGGTGATCACGGCCTGGAGCTCGCTTCCCTGACCTCAGCTCCGCCTGCGGACGTTGCTTCCAGTGGAACGGCCCCTTTTCCAGCATACCTTCACCCGAGGAGAGCTTCTATAAGTGCTGACGAAGCTGAAAATTTTGCCCAGCAACTTAGAGGCAGCAGACCCATCACTGTTTACGGGCACAGCGAGACCACATCTGCGGGATGTATGTCTGCCACAGCCAAGACATTTGCCCCCTGCACTTTCCAGGTCTATATCCCGGGCTATTATGTCCTCACAACCACGCCGACAGTTGGGCTGCCTTGTACTGAGCAGGAAGCATTCCGGTATGTTCGGACTTCCTTGGAGGGGAGGCTGCCACCCTTCTTTGATTTCCTCTTTCCGACTCAGCCTCAGATTGGGCGTGATTACGGGTCTCTAGTTTTGGTCCCAACTTGGCATGCTCCTAGTGGTAGGCACACCATTGTCTTTGACATGAGTGGGATCGAAGGTCCCATATATGCCAAGGTTGTCGTCAGTCCAATGACCTTCTGGGAGTGCCAGCAGGAAGCAGCCCGACACTCCGCCGTGACGTGGAGTCTCTTTGTGGCTGGGTCGCTGGCCCCTCAAACACCAGGTGAGAGCTTCCACGTTGGGACAGGGTATGTCCTCCAGTTCCGGCCGCTTCATAGCACACCTGAATGGTTTGGGCATCTCGCCGAGCGTCTTGGCCACCACGTGCCGTGGCTTCCGGATCCGGCGCTTCCTGAATCTCCACCAGGCAACAGGCTTCTAGTTCTGCGATCTGACCAGCATAGGGTCTTTGACTTGGACCAGGTCGATGCTGCTCCTTTGACCAGCCGTCTTGCTGATCTTGTCGAGCGGACCGCGGATGATGTTCTCTTCGTTCGGCCCCTTGGCCAATGCCACCTCAGGGACTATTGCCACGAGGGGCTCCCATGCCAGGGAGCGCTTGCCGTCTTTCCGCTCCGGGCGCTTCCGGGTCGCCAAGGGCGCCTTCTCTTCCTTGATGGAAGACCGGCCAATGTTGGGGTGATCACTACCTACACTGAAGGCATAGATGACCTTTTGGGCTTTGCCGACTGGCTAGGGCTGCGTCCTCCTGCTTTGCACCATGTTGTCTGTGCTAGAGTTGCTGCAGCTGAGCAGGGCATGTCGCCTGAGGGGTCGGTCCTGATCTTTGGCTATCGCCTTAACTCGGAGCTCATTTTAGATGCGCCTCCACCGTCTTCTCTTGCCTCAGACGATTCCCGGGGGGAGGGCGAGAGCGATGAGGAGGATGCACCGGACGACCAGGCTGGTGCTGACAGGGCGGATTCAGTGTCGGCTAACTCGGATCCCGGTGTGAGCAATTCCAATAATGTTGGTTGTTCCGGTCAAGTAGCAGCTACCGACGGGCAGACAAGAAAGGATCACTGCCCTGGCTGCTGTGCATTTCCCCTCTTGTCGACCTGTCTCCCTGCCGATGACGCCACCTCCGGTCTCGTTACCATTACTAAGGCACTCGCGCAGTGTTGCATTAGGCAGGCGTCTGCTTCATTTGCTCTGCTCGACTTTACGTGCCGCACTGTCGGCAAATTCCTCTCTGCGCCTGCATGGTTATCCCTACGAGGATTTCTGCACACGGTTCAGCCATGGGTGAGCAGGGACGAAGTGGGTCCGACAGCGCAGATCTTCCGCCGCCTGGAGGGGATTGGCACCGCTGCCTCTTCCTTAACGGGCTGGCGTCGTGTCTCTCAACTCTGCTGCTTGGATTGGCCCGAACCCCTCTGGTGCCTTGACCTTCCTGTGCTTTGGTTCCTCGGCGTCCCGGCTGACATCGCTGTGAATGTCTGTGCCGGGCAGTTTCGGCTAAACTGTACAAAGCTCATAGCTGGCTCCGCCCCAGCTGGTCGCGCATGCAAATATCTCCAAGAGCCGCAGGGTCGCAGCCAGGCAGAAGGCAGGCATCTTAATGATCTGCGTTCCATCACGCATGCCTTAGGAGGACAATGGCTGCCTAGCCTTCCCCCCTTGATGGATTTAGGGGGCATTGTCGACTCCGATGCATCCGGTTCCGATAGCGAGCACAGCGACCACACCCAGTGGATCCACTACGCGGTGCTTAAAGAGGGTTTCCGCGCGGAAAACGCCACTGTCGCTATCCAGGTCCCGTGCACTGAAGAGGAGTTAGTTGTGGCTCTGCAAGCTGCCCGATGCCCCTCTATCCGTAATGTCTTCCCCTCTTTGCTTTCTATCCTGCCGCAGCCGCGACCGGGCACTGCTGTTTTCTTGGCGGCACCGAACTGGGATCGCACTTGCCACGGTGTTTGCCTCGATACCTCTCTCTTGGATCGACGCCTCTTTACCGCATCTATCCCAGATTATGTCTGCAGACATGAACTTGTCCAAATCGCGGGTCTTCCGCACTCGCTTGATATGGATATTTGGCTTGTGCATGACGAGATGTTGCTGACAACGGAGGAGCCGGTTCATGTTTTTCCGGGTGCCCTTATTTGCTTCCTCCCGGCTGCGTATCCTCCCCCATCACTGCCTGTCTTGGGTCAAATGCTTCTGAGGAGGGTTGTTGTGACACCAGATGCCGAGGTGCCCGCCCCGTCCGTCGACAGTGCCTACTGCCTTGTGACCCATGACCATTGCGGCTTACACCTGATCAACCCTGAGGAACATATCAGGTACAGGAGTAGCATTGCAGAGGCGCTTCAGATTCACATACATAGGCTTCGACTCTTCGCGGCATATCCTCGACAAACTGACGTGGCCATTGAAGGCACACCGTGCCGGAATGTAATTGCGGTGGCGGAATCCAATGCTGATGGTGGGTTTCGTGGCCACTTGGTTCTCCTGGACTGCCGTGCCTTAGGGCAGCGCTGGCGCTTGCATCACGTTTCTAGAGGGCGGCTCGATCTAGATGCCTTGTTCCAGAGTTTCGATGCACCGCGAGGATGGCAGGTTGCTGTTTTGGACCAGGATGAGCAGACGGGCCTCCAAAGGACTGTGCCAGGACAGGTTTTCAGGCTTGGTTATGTTCCGCAACGGCTGGCTCTGTCCTCGGCTGCATCCAGTTCCTCGTCCCTGCCAGTTGCACAGCAAACTCCTCCTGACAGACGCCTTGAATTGGGCGCGTGGCGTGGGGACATGTGGGGTAGCATACCAGAGGATTCCGAGGAGCTCGACTTTGCCGCTGGGCCCTGCGTGGATCAGGGGGCTACCACCATGCACTTCCTTATTCTCTCTCCGGAATATCAGGAAGAGATTGTTTCTGTGGCGGCTAGGCTCCCATCCACGACTGCTGACATTCTTCCCCTTGTTGCCAGAGAGAGGGAAGCGGAAAGGGCGCATCTCTTTCCACAAATGCTCCCGGTCCAGGTTCAGCCTCCTTTCTCCTTTGCGTGTTTATTGGCCATTCCGGCGTGGCCCGCTGCCGGCATACCAGTGCTATTTGTCTTCTACCACAGCCCTGTACGACTCTTTGCGGAATTCGTTCCTGCCAGCCTCTCCGTTGGAGATGTTTTTCGTCTAGTCGGGATCCCGGAAGATGCCCAGACGCAGATATTCGTCAAAGATGTTCCCTGGGCTGTGCCGGCTGAAGCTCGCATTTTTGTCCAGCCTGCTTCGATGATCAAGGTGGTTATTAAATAAATAGCACATCTATTATGTAGATAGCATGTTTATCGGGGTTAGCTAGTTGTACCTATGAAGCAATCATAGTTACATTTATTGTATGT